CACCCAAAAGTACTAAAATTAGCTGAAAGACAGGTTATTCCTGATTGCCTAATTACGAGACTATTAGGAAACCCACAAAAAGATTTATGACAAATTACAACTTTGCTCTCTGAGAGCCTGAGAGGTAGTGGAGCTTATTTAAAGGATGAGATGTGCAACGCTGAAAATTCAGCTCTCGGAACAGGCTGAAAGGAAAAAATACAAGAAAGAGCCTCTGGAACGGTACCTGTTTATACTCTGCAATAATGGCTGTGGTTTTCTTGATCTCAGATTCTGCCTTCTCCAGCTGCTTCCTGAAGACTTCCTTCAGCTAGGAAGTGAAGGAGAGAAGTTACCTAGTACACTCACAGAAGTTCTCAATATGCATCATCAGACTGTTCTCTCTGTGTCTTACTGTGTTTACAGCAGCTCTAAACTACTGCTCACCAAATTCCAGCATCGGATTTACTCAGTATAAAAATCCTTACTGTATCAGTGATAACCAAAAAGTCTATACTGTGACCCTTTATCTCTGCTTAGAGAATTCTCCTGCAGCTTAATTCCCTTTCTCTGTGTTAAATGGTGGTACATTATGGTCCACAGAACATAAAATGGCAAAAATAAAAGTCAGGGTATCACTTTTGAAACGTACACGTTAAGCTAGAGAGGATTACAAAACTAAGACCGAATATTTTGCAAATGAGTATGAGGCCAGGTCTAGTCAGCAAAATTCTCCCAGCCCTTATCCCTGTTCTGCTGTTGGTTCCAGCTTCAGGCAGGAACACTTTATTTCAGCAATCCAGCACCTGAATCCAGAACAGACAACAGGCAACAGCTCCTCTAGCTCCTCATTTAGATAATTAAAAGAGGTCTGATCTCCTTAACTGCAACTGCTCACTGCCAGTGACAATGACTGTTAAATACTGGGAAGACGATAAGCTATGGAAAACTAAATATTCAGAGCTCAAGTAAAGGAAAACATTGAACAAAAAAATTACCCTGGCATTACAAACTTTAAATTGCAACCGCATTTTGAAGACAAAATCCCTTCTGCAATTGCAACACATCCACTTTTCTGCATATCCTTCTGCTTGCATCTCCTAGCTAAATGGGGAAAGCTGGAGAATGCCTTACCTGAGCAGTTTCCTCCTCCTGCTTCCGTTTCTCTTCCTCAGTCTCCACCAGCTTTTGTTTGGTCAGGAGAAGCTCCTTGTTCAAAACATCAGCTTTGTCTTCAGCCTAAAATCAGGGACACTGGTGTAAATCAGATCTTATCTGTGCCAATACAAACACACTGGGATGTACAGCTCAGAAATTCTGCAGATTCAGGTTCTAGCATTGCCTTTTCCTGCCCTGTGGAAACTGGGAAACTGTGCAAAAGGACCCTTTGGCCAAGTGTTTACCCATGCCCACATAGGCACAGATACTCTGTCCTAATGCAAACAATGATGTACAGAATATTTTTGTTGGCACCAATATTAATCTAAGTCAGGGCAGCATGATTTAGCTACTGTGTAACTTCAGATAACTCATTCCATTTCTTTAATCTGTAAGCAGGGAAAACAGGTAACTGTAAAAAACTTTGGTGCCTGCACTGTACCCTACAAAGTGTTCAGGCAAAGACAAGTGTAGGACAAACAGGACCACCGGATAAATTGTTTATCAGTGCAAATAAGTATTACATGGAGAAACTTGATACTGTGTGTGCACTAGGGAATAGGAATTTTCTCCTTTCTTGTAAGGGCCGAGCTTATGGTGACACATACTGGGAATGCTTTATTTTTGTGAGCACTGTCCTCACCAATCACCAGGAGAGAAATGTATTTCTCAATGTCTGGATATATTGTGTTGCCCTCCCCAGCTGGGAGATACACAGGGCACCTCACCACTCCTGTTCATTAATGAGGTGCAGGACAGGTAATAGTTGTGGTCAAATAATACTGAGTTTGCTGAAAATCCAAGAGGGAAAAGGGCATTGGAAACAACAAGTAACCGTACAGAACTTGTCTACAGGCTGCAGTTTGGTTTTCTACCACTGCTGGTGGTATCAGCTTATCTTTCTGCCACAGTGTTCATTATTAATGAGGGTGTTAGTGGTGATTGTGGGCAGCAGAAGCAGCTCCACCAGGGCCACAACTGAAGGGATGGATTGAGGACCCCTGCATGGCTTAGTGTGTATAAGGCTGTATAGGAGAAAGGAAAACAAGCAGTGCAAGAATGGAAAATCGATGAGATTGACATCTTAAGACAAAAGAACTCAGGGATTACAAGGGTATCTTTGATGAAAGACCCGTTTTCTGATATGCTTTAAAGGAACTGCAAATCCTTCCTCCTTTTATGTGTGCATTCCAGTTTCTCCAAGCACCTGCAGTGGTGTTTGGTGTCCCGTCCTTGCAGATGAGGAGCGCGGTAGCACAAAGCTTTTCTTGCAGTGCCTGGGAATGAAGGCAGGAGGTGGGAAAACTTCATGGAACCACTCTTGTCTACAGACAGACTGAGAAAGTGCAGGAGAGAAAGGAATTGGACTGGCACAGGGATGTGCTTGGCAGCCTTGTTGTGACACCTGAGGAGAAACAATCACGGGCAGCAGCAGACATAAAGCTGCTGCATGGACAGCTGGAATTCCCAGGAAGACAGAGCTCCCCAGCACATTGCTTTTGGCCTCCACACGAGCCTGCCTGCTCCATCATGCAGAGCACATCTCTGTGCTCACCCAGACAGCTCAAAATTTTAGAATCCCATGGATCCAAATCAGCAGAGCCTATCTGTCCAGGATCTGCCTAAGCAGAAATACAGCTTGCACAACTGTGGTCAATGATGTTTACAGTTCTGAGGTTAGATAAAGCAAGCCAAATACCTGTGGGAAATCCAACTGAGAGGCCCTTGCAGGCAAAGATTTTACATTATAAAAGGTACCACAGCAAGGGACTAATCACAAGATGTGGTGGAGTTTGGCCCTCTTTATTTAGTACCTTAACAACAGCTGTTACAGCATTTATCAATACCACATAAAACACCTCAGAAAGAGAGGGCTGAATGTGTAGTTCTCTGAACACCATCTCTGAGGCAAAGGGCTCTGAATGCTGCTGCCCTCCACATTCCTGTCTTCACAGGGAACAAGAGCAGTTATCAACAAACACACAGGAGCCCTTCTAATTTTTGGTGCCCTGCCACATCATTATCTCTGAGCTTTGTTGGCTGTACTAAAACTGCTGTGAAAAACAGATCCACATAGACATTTTGCAAAGCAACTTCCCTTGAAACTAGTCTTTCAAGGAGTACGTGATGCCTTTTTCAAGGAAATGTTCGTTCTGTGGTATCTGCCTAAAGGTTATGGCTTACATTTTCTAAGCAAACCCCAGCAGAGGAGGTGCAGTCAGTGTTGGCCAGACACCACTGAATGTGGAAATCCAGCTGACTGCAACTACGAGTGAGGCTGTCAGGAAAATAAAGGCACAAATAATTACACTTTTAATGCTGTGTTATACTCTCAGTGGAGCACAAAGCTGGGTTCAGCATTACCTGGTCCAAGTCATTCCGTAAGGCAATCTTGCTCGTGACAAGCTCATGGGCGAGGTCATCGTTCTCCTGCTCCAGCCTCATGCTTGCTTCTTGGAGCCTGCGGTTTTCCCTCTGCAGAAAGAAAGGAACAACCAGGAAAGGAAGTTAATCCTTATCAATATTGAAGAGCAATAAACGAGTGCACTGTGTGCGGAAAACACTGAGAAGGCGAGAGTGCACATTCAGACAGGGCTGCTGCTCTGGGAAACAACAGTGAATTAAGCCAGCAGTGCAAATGCAGCTATTTCACTTACATCCCAATGGTCTGTGTCACCAAGTGACACACTGATTGTAGCGTTTCCCTGTCAAAAGTAAACACAGACCTCTTCACAAAAGCACTTGGTTTCTGCTTGCTCATCATCTAAAGAAATCAGGCAGATAAAATCCCACCCAGCAGCAGTGAACAGGGACCAATTAAGAGTTACTCATAATGTTTCCAATCGGAAGTAGAAAGCTGTCCTGCTCCACTTTACAAAATTCTGTCTGCAGGGATCCATAAAAATAGTCCATTTTGTAGATGATATAATGCCAACTTCCCATCTCTTGCAGAACCAGCAGAGCACAGCATTTAGCCTTGGAAGCCCCAACAGCTCGTATATCCTGTACTCTGCCATTTGTGCCCTCCTCTGTAACTCATACCAATGACACCAGTGTGTGTTTTACAGGAAACCTGCTGAGCCAGAGTGCTAGGGGGAAGAGGGGAGTTCACCCCTGAGCACAGGCCCAGGACCTCCCAGTGGGCAATGAGGGGAACACCAAATGGAGAACTCCAGGCCCTCGCTGCACTGCCCTCCCTGCCCACTCCACACAGGCAGAAACAACTCCATGGAGCACTAACCACAGAAGGGAAGTGCACAGGAGAATGATATTTCATAATAATGAGAATAATAATTCAGGTGTTTTAAAAATCAGTCTCAGTGACTGTTTTACAGCTGAGAAACAGAACCATATTCAAAAGATGCTTGTGGTCAGTGAACTCCCAGGGGTCCAACATCAAATACTAATCCTCATCTTCAGAACAACACAGCCAGGTGGGACAGACAGAGGTGCCCTCCTCAAATGGATTTTAAGAGAGGAAAAAACTATGCAGGCCTTCAGTCACAAAATGGCTGTGTATCTTTCACACCAAAACAGGCTGCAAAGGGAATCTGTGCACTATGGAAATTCAAGGAAAAACACCACATTCATATGGAAACTCGTAGGTGGAGGAACAGCAACCTACATGCAGAGATTTCAAAAAGGACCTCTTCTCACTTGAAAGGTAAGTTATGTTCTCCAAGACAAAACAATAAAAGTCAGCATACATCAGCACTTAAGACAAAAACATTTCCAAGCGTTGTTCAGTGAACACATTCCTACAAAATGTGATTTCTTGCATAAGCACATTATTCACCTGTTCTCACTTCCTCCTGCCTACCAGCTATGCTTAGATACTTTTTCTCTCCGAAATTACCACCATGAAACTGCAATTTTCATTTCTGTTGCAAGCAGATTTTGCATGCTCGGCTTAAACAAAAACAGGACAAGTAGAGCTCTAAGAGGATGCTTAAAGAGGTCTCTTCTATGCAGGAACTTCCTCTGTGGCAGGAAGCAGAACTTCTACAAATTCTCTCTCCTTACTGTGACCCTATTGTGCAACTAGACCAGGCACTGCCCTGTACAGGAAAGTAAGTTTGTTTCCCTTCCAAAAGATCATACTTTGAATAACTTGTTTTGTACAGAAACTCTAAGTAAAATGCTTTTATCTTAGCACAGTTAAGATAATCACTGCTAAAAGACACACAACTTTGGGGATCTTTCTTATTTTAATTGCACTGTAGCCTGTATGGGATAGGGAATTTTTAAAAGTAAAATTCTTCTCTAAGGATAATATAAACTTTAAAGTGTAAAACCAAATTGCAGTCAATCATCGTCATCATCTCAAACATCTTTTTTCCTGTATTTTATTCAGACCTCCTTAGAAATGTTGGTTTTTATAGACACAGCTCTGCCAGCCGGCAGCTGTCAGACCTGGCTTCACATAAAACCTGGGAGCAGATCAGGACAGTATTGCTGCCAGGTGCTGCAGCACCGGTACCTTTCCGTAGGGATGTTGCTTAGAAGGAGAAAGCAGCAAATTCTCAAGACTTTCAAAAAATAACCCAGTTGGCTTTAACATTTCTGCTATGCCTTTGCCAAAAGCTTCAGTGTCTGCAAAGCAAGCTGCAGTGTGAAGTTGAGAGTTCCTGCTTTGCATTGGCAGACAAGTGTGTAAGCAAGCTCCGTGCTGGAAATGCGCTATCCTCCTCTTAAACGAGAACGTACATGGCACATTGGGATAAGGCAAAGATCTCTTACCTTGGGCATCTGGTCAATAGCTAAGAGATGTTTTTAGCCTGTTCACCATACTCTTAGTCCAGCTGAGAGCCTCTCACAGAGCCACCTTTACTCTCCTTCCACCCAGGGCAGAACACCCGATGAGATGGTTTGTCTTTTCCAGCTCCTCCCCCCCAGATCTAGCAGTGAAAAACTGCCTCCTTCCTCAGGAGGAAACTCTTAGTCTGCTTAACTCTAAATAAAACCTAACGTGGCACAGTAAAGACAGAAATAGCAAATAGTGCTTTTCATGTGTAGCAAACTATTTCCAATGGCTCTGAAATATTTACAGGGTTTTATGAAATACACTCGCAATGACAAGAAGTTCAACAGATGGAGCTGGTTCGTTACAGCAGGACTCACATCCCGGGCAGCATTTTGTAACCTGGCATCAGCCAACCAGTCAGACCTGCTAGTTGTCCCTGGTGTAAACAGACAGCTTCCTGCCCTTCTCTCCACACCACTAAATTACTGACTATGACAACCATTTCCTTCTCCTCGGCATTGCTCGGTTCTTACAATTCGTAAAGTAAGAGGTCCCTCTTTCCCAAATTCCCCCTTCTGGTTACAAAAGGCGGCTGGTGAGCTCGAGTTAACTATTAAAAGGAGGATACTGCATTTCCAAAAAGGACAAACACCGCTGATACACACAAACACAAATAAACTTACCTCCTGCAAAGTCACAGACCAAACACTGCTTTCAACCATTGGTGTAAAGACAGTTGAAACAGGATATAAAATAATTTTTAATACCAACAACAACAAAAAAAAATTTGCTGATTCTTCAGTGGGTTTTTGGTTCTGAGTTTTAGAGAGGATATACTCCAGCTCCCATCACACGCTGGATGGAAAGAAGAAGGCCAACTTGAAAGCAAGGCTCAGCTCAGGAAGACTTGAAAGGGTTGAAACTCCACCCTCTGCTCCCTTCCAGCCTGCACCAAGGAGTAATTCCTGAGGAGAACAGTAGTGATGATGCATCCTCTCTGAGCTGCATTCAAGTGGGGTGGAACGAGTCACCAACCTCCTTAAGCAATTCTGCTTCTTCTGAGCAACACCCTGCGCTGGGTTTGGCTGGAGTAGAATTAATTTTCTTCACAGTGGCTGGCATGGCTGTGGTTTGGATTTGTGCTGGAAACAGTGTTGATGGGATAGAGATGGTTTTGTTATTGCTGAGCAGGGCTTGCACAGAGTCAAGGCCTTTTTTACTTCTGATACCTCCCCATCAGCTTCTTCATAAGCCCAATGGAAAGGGCTCTTGATTGTGGAGGAGCTCTGAAGGAAAACCCTTTGAACTTCCATCTAGAAACCCAAAAGGCTTTAACAACAAACCATCCAGGAAAACCTGCCATGGGAAGCAACATAGAGGCTCCTGGAGGTGGCTGTGTTTTCCATTTGGTGACTCTGGAGAAGCATCCCCCAAACTGCCTCAGCACATTTGGTTTGTTAGAAACCACAGACAATGTCCCACACATCAAGAATCATCATGTTTTTCCTCATGATGTTAACATTCAGTTACCATGACTGAATGAAAATGAGCAATGTATTAATTTTTGCTTCCACTTCAAACACACAAAAGGCTATTATGTCCAAATTACACATTTATTCAGGCACACAACTTCTCTGTTGCACAACGAGGTCCACAGAGGAAAAGGCAGAACAGAACAGCAGGGTCTGCTTGCAAAACTCCAGCCCTTCTTCTCTTTATTTTAAATCAAGTCCCAAGCTCAATTCTGGAAATTTCTCATCAAGTGAACCCAAACCCTGTTACATGAGGTGTTCTCAAACACAGAACCCCCCCATAATATTTAGAAAAATTTCAATCTAAACTATATTACTACTTTTTCTCTACATACAACTCACTTTTCTTCCTGGCTTCTGTAGGCAATTTGTAATTTATTTTAACCAAAAGTCACGAAATCCAGTGACAAACAGCAATTTAGAACATATTTCCCTTTTGCACCTTTTAAAAATCTGACAAAAATGTGATAATTTGTTAAAAGCAATGGAAAATAAAGTGAAAAAATGTCCATAAAAACACATGGTCTTCCTAAATAATACTTGTAAATACATCAGGAAACAAACACCAAAAATAACGTACTCTTTAATACTGTTCTTTTGGTAAATCAAATCACAATCAACATGTAAAATCCAAGCTGGGCAGGAACTCTTGTGTGTGTAACAGCTCATGGGAGCACATGAATTGAACATGTCGAGCAAACCTGACTGGTTACTGGTGGGCCCAGTGCTGCAAAACCAGCTCATCTCCCTCTCTCCACAGACCATCATTTCCTCCCAGGGCAGGGCCACAGGGGGTGTCTTACTCAGACATCCTCTCCACCACTGCAGCTCACAAGGGCCTGTGCCTCTGCAGTCCTGACAAACCTCTGCTGGCAATAAAAACTGTGACACTGCAAACAACAAACACTCTAAAAACTACAGCTAAAAAGTATCAACAGTCTGAGAGCTCGTTTCTTTCTTGAGGAATATTCCACAGGGATCTCCACTCCAGTGATCCCATCCATGAAACATCCTCTTCCCAGGCAGCAAACCAAAACTTTGTTTTGTTCTGGGAAGAGAAACTGTAAAACTTGCAAGGCTGCAGGGCTGTGGGGACAGCCCACACAGAGGGAGCTGACAGCAGGGCTGTGCTCAGAGGCAGGGCTTTTGTCCTCTCCCAAACCAAGCCCAGCCCTGGTGCTGCCCCACTGAAATGCACCTCCGACCACACGGGCCGGGCCGCAGAGCACTGACTGAAAGGACAAGCGAAAAGCAAGGCTGGCTCTCCACCTGCTGCCTGTGAGGTGTTTCTTGATGACCTTCAGAAACGCTCCTGAAATGTCAATTCCTACCAACCTCCGCTTGACACAGGAATAAAATCTTAACAAGCAAGACAAGGAACAAAGAACACTTATAAGCATTTTTCCATGGCACCCATCAACTGAAGAATGTGTCTGAACTTTGAACTCATCTAACCAGTTATGGGGATTCTCTAATCACAGCATTGCTAAGAGGATCAGACCCAATCCAGCTTAATAAAAAAATCCACGTTGAGTTTCAGAAGCGCAAGCCAAAACCCTGGGCTGTGATCTTGACTGTGACAGAGACTCACATCAACAGTGGCCCAAGAGTCGCTTTCTATATCCTCTTTTGCAGCTTGGGATAATGTTCTTCACCATCCATCGCCCATGATTAACTAGTTAATATGCTTTCACAGAGCTTTAAAGAACCTTATTTGTTTTCTAAGCATTATTTTAATTCCACAGTACTATAAGTGAACCACCGAAAAAAAACTTATAAGTTTATCAGCAGCAAGTTGTGTTTTTTCCTAAATAGGTCATACTTGCTATAGGTTCTTGACTGCTTCAGCAGTCCCAAGTCTCACAAACAATGAAATCTACACTCTTTGACAGCATAAAAACTACACTTAAAATATAATTTTTCACAGATAAATGCTTTTTAAAAAAGGAGTGAGTTTGACTTTCTCTGTACCTGTAAGTCTACCTTGCCACATTTATGAATTAAGGCACAGTCTCTCACTACAGATTTCCATACTTTGGTTTTCTGAAAACGGTGCACTTTCCTTACATTCAGACCACTGGAATAAGATTATTCACCACTCCACACTCCTGGCAGGCTCTGTACCAACTGCAACGTCACTGAACATACTAAGGCACAGTGAGGAACAGCAGGCAAACAGTACAGCACTGTCAGTTCCCAGGCATCCTGGGCAGTGGGCAATAAAGTGCTTCATCTCTGGCAGCTTCACCTGGAGAAACCTGAATTGTTCGAACTAGGGTGATCCCAAACACTCAGTGAACTCTGTGCCCAGGAACAGAGCCTCCAGCACACAGAACCTACAGCAAAGGAGCGCAGCTGTGACAATGAGAGCAAATTCACTGGCGAGATAAGCAAAGCTAATCCAAAATTAAAAAGTATTCTCTTCTGGTGAACTACTGAGCTATCATTATTACCAGCTGAACCTTTATTTCTCTGCTGCCCTAAAGCAGGATATCCATCACTGCTAATTCTATTGCAGCAGTGCCAGGGACCCCCAGGTCCCACCGTACCAGGCATTATCTTAACAAAAAACTACTAACACTTGGTATAAACAGGAATGAACAACAAGGATCATATCAGCCAAGGAAGAGTTCATCTTCCAAAGTCTCTGAGGATACCACTGCACATAGCTTGCGCTAGAACAACGTGTATTTTCTCCTTTCTGTGTCTGTAGCTGAGAATCCCCCTTTGTTTCTGCGGCTCATGAAGATCTCCCATAAAAGTGCAACAGCAGGAGAGTTACCTACAAACATATAAACTGAAAGAAGAAAAATATTATATGTGGCTACTTGCAGATGTCTTGAGAGTTACAAATTGTGATTGAAATATTCCTGGGAAAGAACTACTAAGTTCAAGTGTTTAAAGTGCCTGTTCAAGAAAGGGGCTGAGTTTCACCTGGCACTGCACTTCCCTAAGGTCTGCACCAGCACATCCCAGGGAGGTGAGTGTGGTACACACACCTCTGCTTAGCCGCTGGAACTGGGTCACTCCCATGGGATCTGCCAGTGGAACAGGTTCCTGTATAGCATCTCCTACCTTATATCTGTCCATAGGATCTTCCTGCTGCAGCTGACTCTCTCGCATGGTTTGGTACTCTCTCTCATATTTCTTCAGCTTTTTCGTTGGCACCTGTGGAATAGATTTGGGAAACATGCATTTAGAGATTAGAGGAACACCGGAAAGGCTGTCTGAAAGCTCTCCTTGCAAACAGGAAACTGAGGAAGTGATGGAAAGCTGCTGCTGAATAAAAGTCTCTCCCCACTGCCCCCTCCCTTCCCTACTCAGCAAACCGTGTCAAACACTTACCAGTACAGCTCACATCGACAGAAATCTTTCTGTGCCCACTGCTGCTGATTATTCAAACATTTAAAGGGAAACAAGAGCAAAGTACAGACATTTTAAGAAGAGTAACAAGAAAAAAAAAAAGAGCATGAACAACAAGGAAGAAGAAAACACACTTCGATATGTATGATTCACCAAAACAATGCCTTAGCAAGACAACTGTTACAAGTGAGAGAAGAATAAAGGAGCGCTCATACAAAAGGACAGGACAATTCCCTGGGGGAGATCAGAGTAATGGTTTTTATTGCTGGAGAGTATTAATGTCTAATTACAGCCTGTGACCAATGCCCTGGTCTGGCATCAGAGCCCTCCTAGGCACAGGTGGAGACACTGCAGTGCAGAGAAACCACAAACAAATTCAGTGAACAGCCATGCAGAAAGGTCAAATCCCAGGCTAGTTCGTCCTGGGAAAACACCACTTCCACTTCAAGCATGGCACAGAGAGAAACCTGTGTTCTTTTAAGCAGGGCATGGGGATCCTCTGCTTTCACATCACCTGGGTAGGCAGAGCTCTATGAGCAACCCCATCTCTGCCTGGAGACCTTTGACAGCATTACTTGGAACACCTGCTGGCAGCAGGAGAGATCCCTAATGCCATGTACCACCAGGACTGTGAGCACAGGCTTTCCCTGGATCTGTTACGCAGTTATCTATTCCTCTTGCCTGTATTGATTGTGTTTAGCTGCCTCCTGGTGTGAGGACATGCCACTGTCACCTTCCCTTAGGGCAAAAAATGCCAATGAACAGAGATAGGATTTGGTGTTGTTTTTCCCTTTCCTGGGGAAAGGGAATACCTCCTTGCTCTGCAGGGCAGGGAGGGACCAAAGCAAGTGCTTGGCGTTGCTGCAGAGGGAGGTACAGGTGGCAAATGTGAAACCTGTTATCTGCAAAGCACAGTGCACAGGGAGCACTAATTAAAGCAGCACCGATTCCCACAATTACTGATGGAATCTGAAAGCAAAGAGAAGAGGGCAGAGATAAAAACATGAAGCACTTTGGGCAAACATACAAGAAAATTCCACTTCATAGTTCAAAACACCATGCAGTGAAAATTACCAAATCAGAGATGCTTTTATACATTTCAGCTGAACAACACTCCCAACTCAACCCCAGCCAGTTTTGTCTCAGCTGCAACCTGGAACTGTTGAGGCTACTTTAATAGTCAGGGATAAGGAATCATTTCACAGGAGTGTTCTAAATGAAGCGAACCCATCACATATCTGAAGCCTGAGCCATCCCCTCCTTCCACCAGGGTTACTTGGCTCCCATTCAGAGAAGCAGATCGAGGCTCCCAGGGTGGGGTGTTCTGAGGACACCCTCCAAACCCAGTTCTCCGGTACTTCTGTGCAGTTTTGTGCTCCAATATGCAACCAGCAGGAAATAAAGAGAAATACAAGGGAGACATTGTGGAGCAGCACAATGTGCCAAAAGGCACAACACAGGTGTAACTTAGAAGATGAGCTGTTCAATCAAAGATTTTCTTGATTCTTGATGCTTTTCATTGAAACCTTTAAAGTGCATGTAAGAACTAAGTCTCACTACAGAGGGAGAGAGACAAGCCTCCCATCCACGCAGCCACATGAATGCTTCAGTAAATCCCATTGTCTTTAGGGATAGGAGATGTAAGACAGATTTTTTTGTGTGCAAATAGGAGAAAGAATGTAAAGCAAAGGTAAAAACTGCACACTCACAACCCTTTACCCCCCATGGTTCAGTGAGCAGTGCTGCTCACCTCAGCCTGGCCCTGGGTGGTGGGGACTGCCTCCAGTGACCCTCCAACAGCCTCATCTTTACAGCTGCCTGGAGCAGCACCCCCTTTGCACTTCAGCTGCCAGATCTGCTTAAATTGCTTGTGAACAAAAATCCTACTTCTCTCCATACTCTAGAAGATACAGACAAAATACAGCCAAAAGTAATGATGTGAGTAAATCACTTAGCAAGAGAGCGAATGGGACATAAAGCAGCACTATGCCACAGCTGCCCCTCACCAACTGAGCCTGTGCACCAAGAGGTCACTGCTGCTTCTCACTGACACAACTGCTCACACTCAGCAGCCAGTGGCCTGCAGCTCTTCTAGCACCTTTTTAAATGTGAACTTTTTACCCTGCCAGAGAGCAGCCTTATTTTTCTGGCTTCACCTTGTATTCTCTTCCAAGATGAGGCAGCATTTAACTCACACGGAGTCTATCTGGCACTCAATAATCTGCCTCAACAACACCATAAATTTATATGAACAGGTCACATCCCAAACCGTGTGATGAGCACTGGAGAACAAGCCTCAGCTGCTTCATTTAACTCTGCTCCCCATTGTTTTCACCTGTTTCCACTCACAAACAACTCACAACCATTTCTTAATGCCTGGTAATTCATCCCAACAACCGTTCTTATCTATATGGTCTCCTTTATTTTCTTATCTTTTAATTCACAGCCTGAGTAGGACCATAAAAATGGTGCTCTGGGGCTATGTGGGGGATCAGCTCCCTCTTTCACCCTTGCAGGAGCCACCCATGGCCCTGGCCTGGGCTGAGGGGAGGCCCACATGCCTGGCACACTCTCCAGGCAAACAGCACAGCAACACTTTCTTAGGAATACTGACAGTAAATGATACCTGAAACCGGGATCAGATCAGGAAAAGTGTAAGCATCAGGTCTGACACACAAAACAGCTTCCATGCTCCTTGAGAGAATATGGTGACTGATGCATGCTAGCAGCTATTTATGCTACAACCTTAATTGGGAAGTAGTACCTAAATACAGTGAAAGTCTATCTTAAGGGGCTGGGGGGAGGAATTCCTATTAGAAACCAGCCCATACTAATCTACTTATAAGATAGAAACTGGAACAGGTATGCTTAGGAACTTTGGCAGGGACTGTGCTTCACTGTTATTGTCTATTCAACCACATTACTCAGAGGAGGTTGATAATTTATTACAGCACTTTCTTCTTCTGAGTATACACTAATAAATGGAAAAAAATATTTAAAAGCCCATTTCCATATTCCTCAATTTAATTCCCCAGAACAGTTTGTGAATTCAACAAGGGATTTCTCAGTAAGCCCTTTCATAAGTAAGTGCATAGTGCTAGCTATGCTTGTCTTCATGGACTGATCCTGAACAAAGTGCTCATAAATTCCCTGTAAAAGCTTCTGCAATATTGATTTTTTTCTTTCTTCAGCACCATGGGGTATATTGGCTCAAACTGATGGTTATCAAATTTAGGAGACTCTTATGGTTTATAAATATTGCTCATCTGTTTATCTCAATATCTTATCTCACTGACTCATTTTATTTTTATTGTCTTCAAGCATAAAATCACGTTACGACGATTTGTACGTGGGGAAAGAGCCATGCAGAGCATCCTAATAAAACATCCACGCAGAAGAACTGAACAAGCAGAACACTCCTTCTGAAAAACTCCAAGGCACCGAACGCTCCAAGGACTCACTGCAGTGAGGTGAGAAACAAAAATACTTTGTCTTTAGCTACCTCTGCTCAGACAAGGCTGGAAAGATTTGCTTCACCTCCTCGGGCACCCCTGGGCATGGGCAGCATGCTGAGCATCGGCATCCGCTCCAGGAGCCCTTCCCCTCACTCCATGATTCCTTTGGCTGTTCATTAGGCAGTTCAGCCTGACCCTGCTGGATTCATAAATCACACACCTCTGACTCCTTCCTCCCAAATGCTTTATTGCTCCAGTGCAACCCCAGTGCTCGGAGGAGGCAGTTATCATGATGTTCATTTGACAGCCAAGGACATGGAAGCAGAGTTGTAAAGTGATTTCCGGAACATACTGCAGACAGCTAGAGGCTGATCCAGACGGTGAAATCCTATTACCTGATTTCTGATTTCCAGCACCGCCACAATGCCAGACTGAGCAGGGTCTCTCTTTCCCAGCTTCCCACTTCTTTTCTCTGTCTAGCACAGCATAAACACTTCAAAAACACATTGTCCCACCACACTAACAATGAAGCCAATATTCTGTGTTCTCTCCACTCTTGACATTTTTTCTCTCTAGTTCTTGCCTCAATGTGGAAGAAAAAAAAAAGGAAAGAAAAAAGCAATTAAGAAAGTGTGCAGTGCTTTCCTTTCTTGTTCCTTGAAGCAGGTGATGTAATTTTCTGTTTCACTGGTGATGGATTTGCTTGGTATTTCAAGCCCCTCCAAAAGCAGATTACTGACAAAAAATTTCCCATCACACACATTGTCTTAGTTCACACTCAAATGGTACCAATTTGTTCTAGTTAATACTTCATATTTAAAATACAACTATATCAGGTTCAAGGAAGGAAACAGTTCTATTTTAAGAAATACAGCTCTATTTAAACACTTGATTAGGCCAAATGAAGGCTTTAATGTAACAATTATAGATGAAGAAACTGATTTAGTGCTCTTCTGGTCTGTGCAGTCATTGCTATGGATAACTCTATTTTGTCCTTTCCTTAAAATGTGGCTGTCAAAAGTATCCTGTCACATCTGTCACTGGGAATAAGACTCAGAAGTAGATAAGTCATTCATTTTTCTTTTGGGAGCATGCAGCTACCAAAAAGAAAGAACAAACCCCACAGTACATGCTGACACAACAGACTTGTCTCTTGGATTAGTCTTTAAAGGAGGTCAGTGAGATGTCATATTTGGCTATTATGCAATACAATGTGAACAACTGGATCTCCAAGGAGATCTTAGCCACAAGCATGAAATCTGAGAGGAAAGAGGGCAAATCATTATTTCTCACAAAATTCTTTGTGCTGGGTAGTCTGCAAAGGAAAGTCACAGGATGGAGCACAGCTTGAAGAATTCCCGTTTCTCCTTTTGACACCGTGCAGGGAAGGGCTCACTGACACCAGGCTGGTTCACCATAGGTTTGAAATGCAGTGGAAGAGCCCCATCAGTGTTTCACCACGCTACAGCACCACATTCAGACAGCCCCACTCCACCCCACACCATAAAGTTCATTCAACACCATCTCACCCCTGGTTTTGGGGCACAACAAAAGCCCCGAGTGTCAGATGTTGTTTTACCATCTAAGCTGTAAGGAAGGAGATGTTCCCTGAAATCCCTTGGAAGCCTACGCTGTGCTGGAGAGATCTCCTGCTGAACCTGTGCCTGTCTGAGTGCTGCTGCAGAACAGCATCTCTCCACCTTGTGTTTGGAAACAGAACTGGCAGAAATGCTCTTTTTACATCAGGGAAACAACTCCACCCTGGCACACCTGAGAGTATCCCTTCCTTCCAGGGGGAGACTTTCCTTCCTTCTGCAAGCCAGCTCTGTAGGTTTAACAATTCCTGAAGAGAGTCTTCGGGATAACACAAATCCAACCTGAAAGCTGGCTGGAGGCAAAGGAAACCAGCATTGCCATGAATTTTTATTTCTATTTAATTCTTCCATATCAGTTCATTATGAAAATATCTCACTTGCAAATGAGACACCCACAGAAATTTATAAAACCAAGGGAAAGGCAGGTTGCAAACTTTACTGAGCACCTGCATCATTTCCCGTGATTCAGAAGTGCACTGGCAGAGTCAGTGACACTGGATCATTTCCAACACCAGATCCTTTTGTCAGATTTTAATCTCTACGATGTATTTCCATTCACCTAAACCCGCTGAAACAGGCATAACACATCATTCTTCCCTAACCCTGCTGTTTAAATATCTGCTTAGTTAGGCTCAGTTAGCAAAACAGTTAAGTTAAAGGTAAGCTGAGACCAGGAGATATTCAGGAAGCACCATTGTACAGAGATCCTGCAGTAATACAGGGAAAGAGAATGGAATTTGGATTCCCTGAACTGTAACTCCAAACACTGATGTGCACTTTGACCACAGTGCTTGTGTTTGAGAGGCTGCAGGGACACCTGCAGCTAAAAATAAGGGTCAAGGAAATGATGTTCTGCCTGTGGCAGAGATGTCTCAAAAACGTTCCTTTTCAGATCCTCAAACTGCCTTTCTGCATTCAAAAATTCATTTTCACTTTGAGATACAGAGGGTTTATTATCCACTTCAAGTCTATTTGTTTTAGCAAGGAAGAGACACCCTGAGTGGCTGAAAAGCAGTGCTTGGAAATGGCCGATTACCTTCAGTACTTGCAGCTGATGTCTCGCAGCTCCTCTAGACACGGGAGCTTCCTCTCACATACAGATAAGGGCTGCAGCACAGACACACACTGGGAAGGAACTCTGCCAGCCAGCACACGCTCTGCATTTCAACAGCTCTGGTCAACAGCAGCACTGTGCTGAAGGGTACCACCATCAGAAACATTCTGGGTGGAAAATATCTGTGTGCAGGTCATTTTTGTTATGCAACATAACTTAATGCCTGAACAATGAGATCTCTGCTACCAAAGACTGTCTAGGCTAAATGAAACCACCTGTATATCCCCCCAGCCACAATGAGGATCAGATAAATGGGGCAGTGACACTGCCCAGCCAGCTGGGACAAGGCCCTGCTCTGGGTAACACAGTTCCTGTGGGCAGCAGCGTTTTTTCCAGCACAGAATTTATTCAGTGGTTTGTTCCTCACAACATAACAGCTCCAAGAGGTTCTGTGTGTCTCACATATACACATTCTGACACACAGCATTTGGTGCTGAAGGTTTTCTATGTCTCCTTGGTGACTATGCAAAATTCAAGGTGCACATCATTCACTCTGATTTCGATCTAACCCATACCCACAACAATTTCAGAGCTTGGCTTGCATTCCTCAGCACGTCACAGCAAGAGAAGAGAAGGGTGAGCAGGAAGACAAGCACAGCCTTCACCACCATCCCCGTGACAACAGGATCAGACGTTCAGGATAAATTCCCCAGGGATTTTCTTGCATCACTTAGCAGAGAAACAGCCTCTCCCAGCTACACAGTGTTAGGGTTTGCTTCCAGTCTTGGTTACGCTGGAACTACCGCAGACCTGTCTCACAATTGCCAACACAAGGCCAGCAACTGATTGGTAACCAGGTTCAAATTATTGGTTTACCAGGGCTGTAAAACCTGTCACATTCAACATTTTTAGTCCACAGCTTTTAGCTAATAAACCCCTGGCTCAATATGTCATCCAAACCCGCCACAAGGCTGGTGAAACCAGCTGTCTGCCAGACTAGATTCCAGCTCTTCTGAGTAATCAAGCCATGTCTCATCCCTGTCACACTGTGCCCAGCATGAAAAATCATCTCCTTCCTGAGATGGAGGATGGGGGCTAGATCACAACTCTGAACCATATGCCAGGTAAGCAAAGAACCTCACATTCTTTCAGCCCATGTCCTATGTGTTCATATTGTTTTAGATTAACTCTGTGCCACAGTATCAGTAAAACTGTAATGTTGTCAGACTTCACATCGCATCTTTAAAATCAGCGCTGGGTTTTTCTCTGATGTGTAGGGAGGTCCCTGATGCTCAAACACCTTTCATTACTTTTATCAGTATTTCAAACCTACATTGTATTAAGAGCAATTACTTTTTAGTGCATTACTCCACTAGCAGAAAATAGATAGCTTTTCTATATTAAAGCTGATCCATTATGGACCTGTTGGAGCAGGTCCAGAGGAGGCCACGAAATTGCTCTGAGGACTGGAGCTGCTCTGCCATGGAGACAGGCTGGGAGAGCTGGGATTGTTCAGCCTGGAGAAGAGAAGACTCCAGGGAGAACTTAGAGCCCTTTCCAGTGCCTAAAGGGGCTGCAAGAGAGCTCAAGAGGGACTGGAAAGGAATAGGACAAAGGGGAATAGCTTGCCATGGACAGAGGGCAGGGTTAGAATGGGATGGACTTTGCGGTCACTGAAACCCAAACCATTCTGTCATTCTGTGATTCTATACTGACACTGAGGGCTCCACGGTCCCTTCTGTATAGTTTTATCTATACTTTTGTCTGCATTTCAGCAACTAACACAATTTTTACCACATCCTCTCAAAAGCCTTGGCTTTTTTTGCTTGCCCAGCTCTATCAACAAAACTGCTAAAACCCTAAAAAAAACACGTTCTTTCAAGCTGCACATTAAATAATAAGCATTTTGAAAATACCAGTGGGACAGTGCCCAACTCCAAGGTACCAGAAAGGCTCACTGAAGCATGGCACAGTGTTTTAGTGCAACAACTAATCCATGCTCTGCTCTGTTATCTCTCTAATCCTTCATCTGCTGAGCCAGTTCCCTCCACGCCTTGAACGAATCCAGGTTCGGCCTTATTTGCACTGTTCATCCATTTGAGTGTTGCCTCTGGAAGTTCAGCCTGAGTGTGGACAATCTGTGTGCTTATTCTTGCCTACACACTTGGCTTCTGGGGTCTCCAAGGTAATGGACAAATAAATATGGCATCTTACTTGTACCCTGATATTGGAACTCAGGGTTACTTTGGCAACTCTACCTTGGAGCAAAAGCACAACACCCTGAGCGTTGTCTTGGCACAGCTTAACACTCTGCTCCAAACCAAACCACCTGGATTGTTCTGCTTTACAAGACCAGCATCACCAGCATTCCAGTCAACAGAGGAGGCTGTTGGTGAGCTCATGTTGACATAGGTAGAAGGAAGCAACAAAGAAAAAAAATGTGTGTATTAAACAGTGCCTGAAAGCACAAGCTCAACAAGGTAAAACCACTGAAATACATTTTCCAACTTCAGCACACAAATTCTTCTGAGAATTGGGTTCAAAAAGAATGAAAACAGTTGTAGACAATGAAGACAGAATGTCTGTAACTAAGACATTCACCTGCATCTTCTAGGAATCAAGAAACTGGACTTCTATAAAGACAAACTGCCTTTTCATTTAGTTTCAGTACTCCTTTCAAAGTCCATGACTGTACTGACCATATATGATCAATAATGTCTAAAAACTTATTTCAAGTTTCTTCTCCCAAATGGGCTTGTAATGGTGACAGAAACAGAAGCTGAGTTTCTCAAGTGCCCAGAAAAACTCGATTTTCCTGAAATTCTTTTTAAGAAGAAATTGAGGAAGCTGCAAAATATCCTTCTTTTGAATGTTTCAATATTCTGTTCTTATTTAAAAA